TTTTTTTTTTTTTTTTTATTTGCATTGAATAATTTCTGATGTTTCGTTTAGAAAAAGTGCGCACAAAATGTTCTCCATCTGAACAATGACAAATTTGAAGTGCTAACCAGAAATCTGTGATGATGACACCCGCAACGCTGTACTAATGTATTGAAAAAAAAAAAACAGGACCAGTCTAAACTTGTTAAGTGCTAAGAATAGAGCTATAAAGAAGCTATAAAACAAAAGCAACCTAAAAAGTGAATGAAACGGAAGAATAAAAAAATAAATTCTTTATTTTGTACAATCGTCATTGCTTCAAAAACAACTTTTTTATGTGTGTTTTTCATCCACTTATCCTTTACTTCATTTCCGTCTGTGTTTTATCAACATTAAAATTTTGAGAAAAACTCAGAAGAAAAATTTTTTTTTTGGCTATTCAAAATTATTTGAAAAAAAAAAAAGAAAAACGAGTAAGCAAAAATGTTTGAAATTTAGCTTTTTAATAATGCCAATGCCATGTTCTACTTATTTTTTGCATCATCAAAACGACAAAAAGACAAAAAGAAAGCTGTTGAAAAAACAAACACGTTTTTAAGTGAAATAACAATTTTTCACTTTAAATAAAAGCGAGAAAAAAAAAAAGAAGAACAAATGATTTTTTTTTCTTTATTGCACCGTCAATACTTTTTTTTTTTGTGATAGTTGATACAATTAAAGCCTAAAAAATGAGTTACTTAAATCAGACAGAAAATTTTGTTAGTGTTATTTTTGCCTTATATTTTTACTCTTATTTACAACACTTTTTCATCTTGATTTTTCTTATCCTTTTATTGTTCTTTATTAGTTCCTTCTGATGAAACAAATGAATAGGCAACACTGATGTTGATGACACATAAACTGGCCGTCAGATGTTGCTAGCCAACTAGTAAACTATTTAACTAGGCTTAGGTTATAAAGTTGCACTTGTTGCTAAACATCAATCATATTTCTGTCTTACGCATACAAATAAACACACACAGATACAGATGACAGTCACACTTAAAAAATTTTATAGCTGACCAACGATAAACATAAAAAAGAAAAAAAAACCAGAAAAATAAAGAAAAATAAAAAGAAAACTACAA